GGGGGGGGGGGGGGGGGGGGGGGGGGGGGAAAGAGTCCTGTTTGACGCTTTATAAAACCCGCTGTGGATGACCTAGGTTCGTGATGTTTTCATATGTTTGGAAACGTCATAGAATTTGTTTTCTGAAAGTTACACGCCCCTAGGTTGGAATAAAAATTGACTAATTCGCGGAAAAGGTACATTTCATGACTCCACTTTGAATGAAGTGGATGGAGTTTCAGCACTGTTCCAATCATTTCTCACCATAAATGCATCTTTTTAATGCCAGTTCTCATCGTAGCATTCTGCGTAGTATGGATTCTGATGCTACAATGTACAATAGTAATACTGTTCCACGACGTTTAGAATACTACGAATAGGACATGGCGTCAAGCGAGAGAAACGATTGGGACAGTGCTGAAAGTGCATCCACCTCATGCGCGGAAAAGGTACATTTCATGTCTCCGTGCTTTTGACGACTGTCAGTTTTTATTGCTGCAACCTAGGCACAATACATTTTCAGAAAACAAATTTCGTGGTGGTTCCAATGTGATACGAAAACAACAAGAACCTATATAATCCACGGCGAGTCGAAAACCTGTTCTTCCGTGGTGCAAGCTCCGTTCATGCCAAGTGAACGAACACCGGACGTAGAATGTACGACCTCCTTCGATGCTGGGGGTTCACCTGTACCCAAGCTTTTTCTTTCGCCTCTTTTTCACTCGCTTCAAATGAACTCTAGGTAAGAAGGAAGCCTAGTTGGTGGATATTGCATGAGAAAGGGCCTAGATGTTGTCAGTAGCTATCGAATTAAAGAGACAGTTCATGGAAATTTGCGATTTCATATGTGAAATCTTATTCCTGTTCTTCAAAGTGGAAAAAAAAAAAATATATATATATATATATATACCAAGGCTACTTCCAGAATGCAGAACGAAATGTGGGACTTTAATATGTTTCTAGTTTTTCAATGTAGTCAATCTAGTCTTTTAATGCAGCAATTTAGCCGTTTTGTAACCAGATGTGGCAAAAAGGAAAACACGCCCCATATGTTCTTTTGAAGAACTTAGTTAAGTTTCTATAAATAAAGCTAAGTTTCTATAAATGGTGATGCCCTGAAGAGTTTTCATAACTGCATATTTCTGTGAAAATGCAACACCGTCGGCCAAGATGGTCAGGGTGGTCGGCTCTCGATTCAGAATTATACTGTGATAATAATAATAAAAAATACACGTCATAAAATACAGGCGACCAGCCGGAATGACCACAGACATCGCCTAAAGTTACACGATAGACCTACCCTCCGCACTTACCTTAGATTTAAAACCTGCCACCTTCTTATAACAAGATGCATTCTAATAAAAACGTGACGAGGGCTTCACGAGGAAAACAGAAATAAAGAAATCCAGGCAGTTGCCGCCTCACGTGCTGGGCTGGAACCTCGCCGTTAGAGGCCTCCGCGGTCTTGAAAGCACTGCCCGTTTAGGTCTCTTGTCACCGACGCATAACCGAAGTGTCCTGTAATTACCAGTTGGTCCGGAACCAAATCGAATAACTCGTCCCTCGTATAATTTTTTCGTACGTATTTGTGCCCCTCTTGTGCGAAAATTGGACATTTCCAGATGAGGGCAATGAACTCAGAGAAAGGCACGGAATCAGTTTCGTTCAGGTTGAAGACACCAGAATTTCCGCTTCCTCATCCGAGGCTCGTGAACTCGCAAAGCTTCAGGGCGGTTTAGGGCACTCTAAATCGGTTTCCTGGTGTTTTCTACTTTCTGAATTCCATTTGACTTCTTGTGCACTTTTAAATTCATCATTCCAATCCCATCGTCTCGTGTCCTGTGTTCAAACATGTTTGCCCCATCTCTTTAAAACGAGATCGCCTTCCAGATGTAATGAGATGAATTAACAAGATTGGTGGGGTTGGGAATGGTATTTCATTGGGAAAATTATGGATACTGGTTCGTTGTTTCTGATATATCGATACAATCAGATTGCATAAACAAAAAATATAACGGCGGAAGACCAAGTGCACCAGGCTGTACCAGAATTCAACAGTCAGTCGATACCTCTGGTTCAGCTACTGGAAACTTTGATATCGTGCAAATAAATATCTTAGACGCGAGTACACTATGATATTAAAGTCAAGAGACATTTCTTTTCTGCTTGGTGGAGATGAATTTAAACGAAGAAACATCGCTGGACATCGCTTCGAGCCGAGACATCATGTCGTGGTCAAACAGGTCAAACGCAGCTGATGAATCCATCAGAGAATTTCCTAGGTCCACTTCTGGCAGAGAAGAGTCACCGTCCGATCGTGCCTGGGCGTCGTGCACCCCTTCGGGATCGCTGCAAGCGGGTTCTGAATGACCGGAATGGCTGGGAGAATTGTTCGCAGGAACATCACAGATGCTATCACTCAATGGTGCAGACTGGGGGATTGGATTGGTCAAGCTAATGGCATCGGCTGGCAAGTCTGGATTTGGCATGCTGGCATGCATGGCAGAATCGTCATTCAGATGCCGTTCGATGATCGGTTCGGGGGGGTTGGATTCAGATTTGCAAAGGATGTCAGAACCTGCATCAGAATCTTCCTTGTGAGGAAGGCAGGTAGGTTTTTGACCGGTGCCATCGGAGTCTCGATCGGAGAGCGATGCTTCGGGATTCTGATCTGGGGGAAGGGTCGTGACGCTTTCACCGGGATCATCGGATGTCCCCGTACCCCAAGTCGGAGCTCGATCCAGGACCCCGAGGCACCAATCGGTTTCTTCATCGAGATTTTTGTCACATTCATTAAAATCTTCGTTGAGAGACAAAGCACACACCTGCTCCATTAAACTTGGTTCTTGTTTGGAATTTTGGCTTGGGAGCCAAGAATTTTCAACAGTAGGATTCTTCTCTTTGGAATCTTCTTCAAATGAGGAGGAAAGTTTACTCTGCTCTTGTATGCCAAGTGTTTCATCGATGTCCTGACGAATGCTGTCGTCTTGAGCCCAATCCTGAATGAGGATGCAATGCTTTGTGATGTCATTACTCAAGAGACTTTCTGATTCGACATAATCCTCACTTGTGGGACCCATAACCACTGGTATAGGTTCAACATCACTGAAACTGATTTTAACACTTCCAAGAGGAGCACAGAGAAGGCTGGTGCTGTACGCACGAGTACGGATGCCAGGCACGCCCTCTACGATGCGGGTGAGATTCTCCGATGAGGCACTGAAGGCAACGGGAAGGTTGGTGGGGCGAGGAAGGGTCTCAGAGTCTGAGATGGAAAAAGTTGGCCTCATGTCCATCTGTGAGAATAATGAAGAGGCTTCTAATGCAGGAGACTTGGGCTTCGTATATGCAATGCTGTGAGGGCTCTCCCATGCCTTTTCCTTTTCCCTGTTACAGAAAGTACAAAAGATTATTTATGAGAACTGGATTACTGATGGACAATGAGCATGGTGCTCTCCTCCTAGTACACCTTCCTTTTAATCATGAAAGGAGAACTTTTCTTGTACAACACAAGAAAACTTCTGCAACAATAGTCAACCCACAATATAATGCCACTGTTCATTACCAAATTTGGTGCTATATTGAATTATTTATAGCACATAATATGGGATATACATCCACAAGAAAAGGTTGGCAATAAGCGAGGGTGGCATTAATTCGAGTGGCAGTATAATGAGAGTCAACTGTCTTGGCAGTGACCTAACCTGTCAACATGAAATTGAGGCAACAAGAGCAGGGCAGCCCTGTACCTCAGTACAAAGCTGCCCTGTGGGATTCAGATTCGACCTTTACTACTCCATCCACCACAAAGCAACTCAACTTTTATTGCTACTAAGAACACATGGGAATTCAACTTCACTGCCACAGTTAGCTCTTACTGCTATAGTTAGAGTGAGATTTAACCCTTAAAGCTTTTTATCAACACCTAGTCTTGAGTGAGAAGTGATTAAACCCCCTCAAGCATGTGTGGTAGCATATGCTGCTCAGAGCTGTAACTGATTTTCAGAAAACTCCTGCTTGGAGAGCTAAGCAAATTCACACAAAAAAAAAACTGAGAAACTGATGGCAATTCATCCAAAATGAATAAGCTGATGCAATACCTTCCTTCCACCTGATGGAAGAGAATTGTGTACAAAGAAAAACTTATATTCAGTCACTGTTGGCATCTTGTTTGATCATAAAAGATTATTTCAATACAAGACTGGTGCAAGAAGGTATATACAAAAAATAAGATAAGGTAATTCTTTTCTTATTTTGTCAAAAAGCAGGATTTATCCAAAAAATAATAAAAGGCATGGGAAAATGAGTGTTGACAGTTAAAAGAAGGAAATGAAAGAAGAAACAAAGAAATATAAAAAAATAATTACACATGAACACCTATTGAACACAGTTATACATAAACAGAAACCAAAAAAGCAAACAAGAAATCTGCCTTTAAAATAAGTAAAAAAAAAAAATAGGTATTGCATGAACATGATTGAAAATGAAAATAAATTTGATCTTTCTTTTCACAGCAAAACTTTACACTTCTTGGCAAAGAACTCCAATATTCAGGATGTCCACAATGTCCAAAAGATGCCAAAAAATGATATACACTATGGGAAGACCTGTCTCATTAAGGAAAAACAGTCTCAAAGAAAAAAAAAGTGAATTTAGCAATATCTTCAATATGCATGCTTGTTTGAACTCATCAAGCTGACATCACAAATACATATGAGTCCATGACAACAGGTAAGCAAGCAGGCTGAATCCAGTCAAATCTTTCATCTTGGTCAAGCTTTTCTTTCTGCCAATTTTGGAAAGAAAGGTGCACCTGAGAACCTGTGATCAAGGAAAAACAGTCAAGGGTACGACACAAGCTACTCAGGAAAAGTACTTATGAAACTCATGAAAATGTTTAAAAGAACAAGGAAATTTTCATCATACCATGGATAGAAAAAAAAAAAGATTAAGTGTTTTATTAAGATTAAAGATTAAGTGTGAAAACAGTGCCTCCAAGAGAGAAGAACAGGCACTTCTACATTCACCCGAGTTAATTTTTGACACAAAACATTTGTACTAATAGGGGCTGACTACAAAAGATACAAAAAATTCCATGAGTGAATTTGCCATCTCCTCTGGAGTAGGACCTACATAAACTAAGCCACTGTTTCACTTTACCAAACTATACTGCATCTTTTATTTAAGGCCAATAATGAAAGTCTTGGATTAAAATTGTAACTGGAAGTCATTTGCCAAATTTCCCAATATTAAGTGTCTCCACATTTACTTAAAATATCACATATGCAGAAAGCATTTCAATCTGAACGTACCAGCTGAGGCTCTGCCTATTTTCAAGCAGTGCTGCAAGATTAGGGAGTGTGGCACGGAGGTCCTGTGTGGGCAGCCCACAGTACCAGCGCAACTGTGCAATGTTTTTGTTCACCAAGTAGGCTGCGTAGTCAACGTGGAGGCTCCTCCGATTCCGGTCATACAGGGGAAGTCTGCTCGTATGCACAAAAGAAAATGAGCATGATTTTGAACATTAGTTACAAGAGGTTAGGTCATTTTCAGATATAAATGTAGTGCTACACTCAATTTGTTCTACACTGAGAAAATACACCAAAATGTCATATTCTCCCACTCTGGGTGAGTGAATTTCACTTTTCATGTTGTTTCATTTCAGGGAATTCAACAGGCAGGATTGACCAAGACTAGGGCCATACAGGTGGCAAGATTGAATTTTTTTCTGTGCATCCATAGAAAACATTACACTTAAAGGTATCGGCTGGGAACTCACTCTCTTTCTTTCTTTGGAAGGTCAACCTTGATGTTATCAGTGATGGTGCTGCGAGAGCCGAAGAAGTGGACAGGGTAACGTAGGGGGATTTGAAGAAAGGAAGCCACCATTCGGATGACATGGGTGATGTAGCCAAAGCCAACAGCCAATTTCACATCATCGTGCCCAACATAGCTCTCTGCATTTGGAACATGCACCCCACGGATCCTCCATTTCCCATCGGAGTCCTACCAATTGGACAAGTTAGATCTTCAAGAATTTCAGGCTTATACTTCCTCACATTGCCTGTCTTTCACATGCATTCAGATTTCATTGTCTTTGAAACCTTGACTCTGGAGGAAATAACTCCATGCAAAAGCAGGAGGAAAAATTGTGTCCGTGTACTAGATCTCCATTTCGAGTGCAAAGCTACCAGGTCTTTCAACTCCTATAGGCCTGAAATCTATGTAATTCACTGCCTGTAGCTGTAAGCTCATAAAGGGCAACGATTGGGTTTCTTGCAAAAATGAATCACCATTTGAAAATAGACTTTTTCAGATGCTATCAACCTATGTACATATGTCCCCCATCTTACCCTGCCAACCTTCACAAAGTCCATTACCAATGGGTGGCTCAGTAATTAATGTGAAAATGAAAAAATGAGAGAAGAGAACAATGAGATCAGCCACACCAATCTCAAGAACCTTCCTAAAAGTATACCTTCATTGTTGTTCAAGATGGCTGAAATATTTAATATCCTGTCTGCCTAACAATGAGACAATGGGTCTCCCATGCATCATCCCCATGCAAGAAAAGCTAATGGTATGATAATAAACATGACACCACAGGAATATAACTTCAGAGCAATAACATACACATTTTTCTAAAGTTTTTCAAGTCTCTGCTAATACCTGTTTTTGTATCAATCACTGATGCAGTTCAAAAGAAAAACCTCATTACATGATTCCTGCCCTACTGTGAACTGAGTAATAACAAATGATATGGCTGGCACCTAGGCAAGGAAAAGCATAATGTAAAGAAGAAAGAATGTGAGAAACCTTTAGGATGGGATAGATGAGGTTGAGCTGGGAAACAAGATGGAAGCGGCGCTGCATGAGCCGATTGTGTGTTGCCCACAGGCTCTCCCTCTTCCCTGTCAGTTCAACCTTCACCCCAACCAAGGAATTCTGAAATCCCTTCAAGTCCTGGTAGCGACTCATCATCTGCCAGCCTAATCATAAGATGAGATGAACACATACTTTAGAAGGCATGGAAAGTTCAAGATTTTCACAAATAGCATACAAACAGGATGAGACCACTCATATTTTTGGTCAAACTCTGCTGGTTTTGTCTGGAAGTAGGGGGAGGGCTGGTATTTTGTATCACCCTTTGTATACGACCTGACTGAAAAGCAGTGATGCACAACTCAGACCTCAGAAACTGCAGCCCCTAAGGATGCCTTCAATATCTAAATAACTTATATTCATACCCACAACTTGATAACAACACATACACATCATATATACATAGTTCAGCATCTCCTGCCTGCTGGCTTTTTCTAGAACACTGTAGCATGCATCAGGTGAGATATGATATTTTCAGTGTGACTATATCAACATACAGTATGCGGCGAAAAAATGGCTACACTTATGTCCAGATTTATAACTTCATCCAGAAGTGGAACTGGGCCCCAATAATTTTTTCTTATGTAGAGGTTGGGTGATTCTTTATAAATAGCTCCGAGTCTTGATAACAACACATACACATCATATATACATAGTTCAGCATCTCCTGCCTGCTGGCTTTTTCTAGAACACTGTAGCATGCATCAGGTGAGATATGATATTTTCAGTGTGACTATATCAACATACAAAAGTTTGGCTAGTTTCCATCAGCACATTCACTGTCATGAGAATCACTGATGACACTCAACATTTGCACAACACAAGATCGTAAGTACTACCACAGCAATCAATGCGTTAATAAGTTAACACAGCATTTGGTAGTATCTTTTGCTGTTGAAAAAAACCAATAAACAAAATTTGGCCATTTGTAGAATAAAGGTTGTACATGACTGCTGCAAAGCTCACTCACAGAGATCAGAATTCTCAGCAGCAGCAGCATCCCTGATGGCAGTTAGGCGCTTCTGGCACTCCAGGTTGCGCCGCCGCTCCTCCCTGAGGAACTCAAGTCGAGCAGCTACAGTTTCCTTTTTGGTCTGGAAGCATGTGACTTCGCTGAGTGCAGCCTGCAAGGCCTCCAGTTCCCCCCGCACACGCATCTTGGCCGTGTTTGTCTGTGACAGGGCACGCTGTGTCCAACGCAACCTGATGGGACATCATAAGGTTCTTTAGCTGTGATGATTAGGGTAGGAGCCACAGGACTCTTCTAAACAATAATCAATCAACCAATTGAACACTCCATCCATGATTCTATAACATATTTCTACCAAGCACCACTCCAGCATCGTTGTTTCATGAAAAATAACACCTCTGATCAGGTTCCCTTCATAGTATGGATGTCAAACATCATCATGACCAGTGGCGGTTCGTGATATTTAGCGCTAGGCAGCGCCCTCCCCTGCCTACCCCCTCTCCATAGACGAACCACTAGCGCTAAATATCACCAGCCGCCACTGATCGTGACAAACTCTCAGACCTAACAAGGCTCATAATGCAGTTACAAATGGGCTTTTTAATCATATCAGGTTTAAGATGTTAACTTGTTCCCTTCAAATTATGAAAATTTTCAGGAGGTTGGATAACTTCATTTTGTTGTAAGAGTCCCTTGACATCCATACACAATAGGTCCACCAATACCAGAATTATCTTCCATTCAGCACATTGAGAAAACTCTGGTCTTGATTAAATTTGGATTTACTGATCAATTAATCTTGAAAAATGACAAAAGGTCAATGATTCATCTTAAAAACTTATAAAATAAACTAGCATCCCTGATTTTCATCCAACTAGAGACACAGATGAGGGTCCCAAACAGTTCTGCGCAACCTATATAAGCACAAAAGAATGGAGACAAAGACAAAAGAAAGAGGCAAGACCTGCAGGCAGTGACAACAGAGTAGCTGCATCGGACAGTGTTCGGCTGAACCATCTTTGATAGTGCGATATTAAGAGGGCGTTCAATGGGTGTTTGGAGGCACTTGGACAACGTGTAGTGCTCCCCACACATGAGGAGAACCACAGAATATCTGTGAAACAGCGTTGGGTCTGCAGCTTCCTTTTCAGAGAGAAGGACGAGACCTCTTAAATGGACCCATAGCTTGGATCTCAGCTCTGAGTCCCCAAATGATGGACATGTGTAGATCTCCAGTACCACACCTAGACATAATAATCAACAGAAATATAGCAGGCTTATAATAATATTTGAGGGGAGCTTAAGAACCCCTCACATGTGCCTTACTCTTGAATGACATCAAAAGCAAGATGTTCTTTAACTCCTAGGTTCAAGATCTCAGTTCAGCCTTTTATGAAGCAACCACTCATTTCAATCAGGAATAACAACAGAAATATACTTTTGGAAGAAAAATAAGAATTGTTGAGAAACATAAGCAAAGTCTGTCATTGTGATTTTCCATGATGAAATTAAATTTCTGTTTTTAGATTAATCAAATCATTTTTTCAGTTGTTCACTTATTCAAAAACTTCTGTGAACGAAATCTCTGAGCAACCAATAACATACAAATACTTATCTCCCAGCAAGCAAATACTTATGATGAAGGTGTTAAAAAATACATAATTATGTTAAAGATGTAAAGCATCATGTGCCGTTTTTTCCTTAAATCAGGAGACAGACCAAAAATTCTTGACCAGTTCTGCATTTTACACAGACCTGGCATGTGGCCAATGCCAGGAGGAAGGTGGGCATTTTGAGGGGAGAAGTCAAGAAGTGGCCAAATAAGGGATTCTCCCTGTTGCCTTGGAGTGATGAAAAATGGCTCCTCAACCTCAGCCACCGACCGTCGCATCTCCACCTGATGTGGGACGCATGGATCCACATTATGGCATCGGATCTCCTCTATGTGCCGCAGGTGCAACTGGAACAAACAACAATATATGTCACAGAGTGAAATGAACTTGGCTTTGCTTTCTTGGATGGGGGGAGGAAGGGATAAAATTCCACCACAAATGATTAGAAACAGGTGTTCATGAAGTATGCAAGCATCCAGTAAGCCATGTCACAAGAATCTCCACAGCATGTGCAGCTGACATTTACTTCAGTTTTCAGAGCACATCTTTCAGTAGCTTTGGAGGCTTTTAGGAAGTACAAAGTCTTCCCACAAACTGAATTTATCATTGACTTTACCCCTTAGGATATTTTTAAATAGAGAATCATAGAGTACTTGCCTGTTAATAGTAAAATACTTCTACACCTTGCCCAATTTTTATTTCATCACTTGATTCTTCATTTTCTGAGATTTCTAAAAATATCCTCTAACACCATAAAAAGAGTGAATTCAATTTCCTGCTCTTGTTTAAATGAACTTTGCTCAATCCCTATTTCCAGCAGTATGTTGGATGGCTGAATAGTTTATAAGGAACAGCATGCATAAAAGTAAAGAGACAAAAAGAGAGAGAGACCTGGTCAGAAAGGAGATGAAGGCGGGGTGCATCAGTGGAGAAGAGAGGCTGACCATCCATTCCCATCTCCACTGTCCCCGTTGCATGTCTCATCCACTCTTGCAGCTCAAGGTGACCCTCATCATTCACTAGTGAACTGGATGAATGAGGGAAAAAAACCAGAAGGTGGGAACCTAGATGTATAGGTCTGACAATTACAAAAGTTTTTCTCTCTTTTTTTATTTTAAACAAATTATCATCAGGCTATGCAAGAGAAAGTTAGACCATATTATTCCTAAGTCTGATTGTATTCCCAAGAAAGTAGCAAAACTTTCACACAGAGGTGTATTTCTCAATAAATGAACCTCATAACTATTTCAGGTGTGATTCTGTGCACATGTGAACTATTTATTGTCCTAGTCCCCTATACTCTTATACTTCACACTGTGAGGCTATGTTCTTCAGTTTTTGGGCATTATTGACCTCATTTACACCAAATTAAGAAATTTATTGGACAAGGGGAATAATAAATTGCCATGTTGCCTCATCCCATAGCATGGGTGGAAGTGAGGTTTCCCCCACCTCCAGGCAAACACCACTCTTTATCTTATGCCACATAAATGCCTGAAATAAAAATTTACAAAAAAATACATGCAACCACAATTTTTTTTTTCATGTTGCTACAATGTATTGGTAAATATTGACTGCTCCACACCACCCACTCCACCATCCAGGTGGAGAGAGTTTAAGTGAACACTGAAAATAGCAACTGTCAGTTGCTCAAAATTTCTCCCCCTGAAAGGTCAGGACAGGAGGCAGGTAAGGTCATGGGAGTCAGGGTAGCCTAGGAGGAGCCAGCCTCGCGAAGAAGGATGCTGGTTGCCGCCTCGAGGTTGTAGTTGGAGGAGTGGAGAGCATGGCGGGCACTAGCTCGCTCAAAACCCATCTCCTCCAGGAACTTCACCTGCAACTCTTCATCCTCAGGATTCATTGCACCTACACAAGCAAAAATTTTATTGGAAACATTCCTAAAGGATATTGGATAAGTTAGCAGGTGCATGTGGTATTAGATGTTTAAGGCATGAAATACAGACTAGATATTATCTAGAGACAATGTCTGTTGAAAGCAAGTGCAGCAAAAATTAATAAATGGCTATGGAAAAGTTATGACATCCGGCAAGCCAATTCAAGATCAACTATTATACTCCCAAACAGATTTTGACAATTTTGGCCATCCTCAATAATGAACTTAAGCCAGTCACTGAATCATGCCCTTTCTGTGACATAATCCCAAACAATACCCATCCAAAAAGGACCTCTATCTATCATACCAGTTAGAGGGGACTGCAGGACAAGTACAGGGTTCTAATCAAGAAATTTGCTACTCTGGGCAGGCTCATAGATTTACCACTGAGGGCATATATACCAACCCATCAACCCACCAACCCCCCCTCCCCCTCCTTCCCCAACCTCTTAGGTTTATTCAATCCAATTAGAGGTGAAAAGAAAAGGTTGAAGAAACTTGAAAAAAGTGAAGTAATGTCATGGGCACAATTCACATTCCTTGTGGAAAACTAAAGGGTGTGAAGGAAATAAGAGCACATTGTATTGGCTTCTGTAGATAGACATCAGCATGAAGCTTTTCAGCAATGAGGCTTTCAGACAATTCTCACTTGGGTCTCAATGCCCTTATGAAAAAAGAAAATTTCCATTTCAGATAGACTACCTGCATACAGGCTTATACACATGCTCAACAGGCTGACAAGTCCATACCATGGTAGAACTGCAGGATTCTTTCAGTTTTACGTCAGTCCCCATTTGTTAAGGATGTGCCTGGGGAAAAAGACTATGCATTCAAGCAGTAGCAGCTTTTATTTATGGGCAGGGTGTCTGAATTTTATAATAGGTGGTAAAATAAATTTCTAAATTATAACTGGGTCCAATAAGAACGGCTTTGCTAGAACCCTTCAGTGCACAAAAGAGACTTCATGACACTAGCATATGCATCTCTTTCATTATTGATGAAACAAAATACTGTAATGATACAAGAGACAAACTGAAAAAAAGCCCATATGCCATAGACCAAATAAGAAAATTGCCACAAACTTTGAATGAAACTGGGTAACTAAATTACTAAATTACTTTTCAGCTCAAACACCATATATATTTCCACAATTGACCATGGGTACCTGAATCAATAGGATTTGTTGCAGAAGCAGTGGAGGAAGGGGGTGAAGGAGACAGATTGTCAACTTCAGGATGGACATCATCTCTCCCTTCATTCCGCCTTGGAGATGAGAANATTTGGGCCATCCTCAATAATGAACTTAAGCCAGTCACTGAATCATGCCCTTTCTATGACATAATCCCAAACAATACCCATCCAAAAAGGACCTTTATCTATCATACCAGTTAGAGTGGACTGCAGGACAAGTACAGGGTTCTAATCAAGAAATTTGCTACTCTGGGCAGGCTCATAGATTTACCACTGAGGGCATATATACCAACCCATCAACCCACCAACCCCCCCTCCCCCTCCTTCCCCAACCTCTTAGGTTTATTCAATCCAATTAGAGGTGAAAAGAAAAGGTTGAAGAAACTTGAAAAAAGTGAAGTAATGTCATGGGCACAATTCACATTCCTTGTGGAAAACTCAAGGGTGTGAAGGAAATAAGAGCACATTGTATTGGCTTCTGTAGATAGACATCAGCATGAAGCTTTTCAGCAATGAGGCTTTCAGACAATTCTCACTTGGGTCTCAATGCCCTTATGAATAAAGAAAATTTCCATTTCAGATAGACTACCTGCATACAGGCTTATACACATGCTCAACAGGCTGACAAGTCCACACCATGGTAGAACTGCAGGATTCTTTCAGTTTTACGTCAGTCCCCATTTGTTAAGGATGTGCCTGGGGAAAAAGACTATGCATTCAAGTAGTAGCAGCTTTTATTTATGGGCAGGGTGGCTGAATTTTATAATGGGCGGAAAAATAAATTTCTAAATTATAACTGGGTCCAATAAGAAAGGGCTTTGCCCTTCAGTGCATAAAAGAGACTTCATGACACTAGCATATGCATCTCTTTCATTATTGACGAAACAAAATACTGTAATGACACAAGAAACAAACTGAAAAAGAGCCAATATGCCATAGACCAAATAAGAAAATTGCCACAAACTATGAATGAAACTGGGTAACTAAATTACTAAATTACTTTTCAGCTCAAACACCATATATATTTCTACGTAACTGGTACCCATGGACTTAGTTATCCTAAACAACGTCTTCGTCACCTCCTTCCCCCACTTCCTCTGTCTAACAGTTGAAGTCCTACCTGTAGTAGAGAGGGAAGTAAGGCGGAACCTCTACTCTTCATGGCTCTCACTGAATCCCACACTGTTTGAGCTCCTTCACCCTAATAACATCCACCATCAAGTTCAGAATGCAATAGAAAAAAAATACTAGTCACATATTGCCAAAATTTTCAGGGTGAAATATTTCTCCTAGTGAATGCCTTTAGGTTAATTTGATGTCATTGCCTCGGATGATGACTAATTTGCTGGTTCTGTTTCAGAAGCATTCCACAAGACTGATATTTTCTGAACAAGTGAGGGAGAGAACAAAACATCTCTGAATGGGAAAGGAACAATATAACTCTTTAATGCCTTACAAATTTGGATTTTTCCATAAAGTGCTTCATGTCCACTATATATCCTAGATATGTACCTCAGTATTTGAATATTCAGTATCTCCATGAAAGAGAACACATGAAGATGCTTTGAATAAAGAGATTATATGGAAACTGCAAAAGGGTTGCATGACTACCATCACTCTATCCTCAGGGTAAAGGAATGAGATAAGATTTCTGAAAGACAGCAGGTTAAATTTTTATGAAGTGCATTATTAACAAGCAGAACATACAGCCCCTAGAAGGATCAAATCTTTAAAAGGGGTGGGTATCCATAAGGAGGGGAGGATTTTTGACTCCCCAAGTATCACAGAAATTAAAAACACTAGTAGAAAATTACTATTTGGAGGAAGTGATAAACCATAGATCTGGCCTTCATGTACTGAAAGAAAAATTCACAGACTCTAAACCACAGAGGTGTTGTGAGGCAGCAAAAAGTACATTTTTTGCCAAAAATTACTTTTTTTTTAAAGAAATGCAAGCATTCAAATTATTTTTACACACTGCATCAAGGTTATGGTGTTACTGAAAAGTGTTACTTTTAAGTGGAGGACCTCGAACTCGGAATGAAGTTGAATATTGTACCAAGAACCATGGAGTTCTCGATGTTGAAAAAGGTCATTTATGTAATATCATTATTTTTTTCCATTAAAGATATTTGAGAAAACGGAAGATTGTGCTAATTGGTGGCATATAATTACATCATTATAAGTATTTAATCATGCAACTGAAGATAGCTCCTCAATCCCATGAAGTGTATCATTCTCAGGAGTCCTTACCCCACACATCAATATCTCCTGCAGCAAACCTTGGATCCTGAAAATCTAAAACAACAATTGCACCACCAAGTAGATAGAATATTTGGCATGGCTGACCCTCACATCCCTTTTCCTGGTTTACAGTACAGGAACAGTGATTTATCAGGAAATGATGTCTTCAAACAGGGTCCAAAAATCCCCTTAGGGGCACATATAACCATTAACTCTACATTCCTCTGCCTTGAAGAAAAGGAATGGGCTGATAAAGGCTGGAAAACAGGAAGAATGAGGATTAACAAAAGATTTGCTTTTACCCCCTGACCCACGTGTGGCTGCCGCTGCCTTCGTCGCATCTCTCGCATTCGACTGAGTATTATCTGCTGCTCCAGCAGCTCCATCTGTTGCTGTCGTTGCAACTCCAGTGTTGCCCCTATGCAATATAACCAAATATTAATTATCACATGATACAAATGGCTACAAGAAATGGTAAAAATAAAAACCTAAGTAAAGGCAACAAATCAAATAAATTCTGATAACCAATAAATTTCAATGAATTAAAATCAAATGGTTCCAATACCACAATGACTTTTCACAATGAAAATTCACCTCCTGGAGCTTGAGCCTTACTTCAACTTATAACATGGTTCTTGGTACCTCAAGAGCTACAACTTTTTCCAGTAAATACATTATAGTAATATTTTTCCCATTAAAGATATTCGAGAAAACGGAAGATTGTGCTAATTGGTGGCATATAATTACATCATTATGAGTATTTAATCATGCAACTGAAGATAGCTCCTCAATCCCATGAAGTGTATCATTCTCAGGAGTCCTTACCCCACCCATCAATATCTCCTGCAGCAAACCTTGGATCCTGAAAATCTAAAACAACAATTACACCACCAAGTAGATAGAATATTTGGCATGGCTGACCCTCACATCCCTTTTCCTGGTTTACAGTACAGGAACAGTGATTTATCAGGAAATGATGTCTTCAAACAGGGTCCAAAAATCCCCTTTGGGGCACATATCATTAACCATTAACTCTACATTCCTCTGCCTTGAAGAAAAGGAATGGGCTGATGAAGGCTGGAAAACAGGAAGAATGAGGATTAACAAAAGATTTGCTTTTACCCCCTGACCCACGCGTGGCTGCCGCTGCCTTCGTCGCATCTCTCGCATTCGACTGAGTATTATCTGCTGCTCCAGCAGCTCCATCTGTTGCTGTCGTTGCAACTCCAGTGTTGCCCCTATGCAATACAACCAAATATTAATTATCACATGATACAAATGGCTACAAGAAATGGTAAAAATAAAAACCTAAGTAAAGGCAACAAATCAAATAAATTCTGATAACCAATAAATTTCAATGAATTAAAATCAAATGGAAAAGTGCAAAAAATTGGAATGCAAATAAAGTACAGAATATAATGGAACAATTCTTGCCACATGATTTAGACTTACCAAGAGGGATGGGGCTTTCAGGGGAGTCACCAGAGTCAAGTAGACGGCCTAGTGTTTTGTCAAACAGTTTTGCAACAATGTTTGGTAGTTTCAGCAACTGCTGAATGCGGAGGAAGTTCACTCTGTATAGGAGACCAGCAACCTGTTGTGTTTTGAAGAAAAAAAATTTTTGAGCAGAAACTCTTGAAAAGACAGCCTCTTGATAATTTCCATTCAGATGAAAAGCCATCACCAAAAATTCAGCTACTAGATCTAACATATCAGTAAAGTTCATCAAACTACTAACATGTCTTGTCTTGATTGCACTTTTGTGAACTTATTTCATTTGTGAAGTAGGACAATATCATCTGAGGATATTGGCACCAGTTGCTCAAAGTTCAAGTAAAGACCTTATAAATCTAACTGGAGACACACATCAACTCAAGGCAAGTTGTGAATGCATCAATAAATTTCCAGGTACTTGGTGTACTGTTACAAGAGAAAATTATGCACTAGCAAATATTCATTTTTAGCATGAGCTCCATGATGATTCTCTGGTGCTAATGCATTCAGGGTTCCATATATCTTCTTGCAATTTATTGACTTTCATGAATCTACCAGGAAAGGCACTTACAAGACCAGAGAGAGCAGAGATGAAGGTGCCAATGCTGGAGCTGCAAATCTGAAGCCCCAAGAGATAGGTGAGGGTTTTGTCCGTCACAGGGATCCCCATGATATATGTCCGTGTCACACGCGGAATGTCAAAGAAATAATATGCATACAGCGGGAATATAAGCATGTACCTGTGGAACAAAAAGCAGAAGCACAAAGCCATTAATCACCTACAGGAGACTCAAACACAAAAAGAGCAACTGCTTCCCAAAATCCTGTCAAACTTTAACTAGTGCATATCCAGATTAGGGAAAAATGATTTTTGCATGAAAGGAGGCTGTCAGAACATAGGATAAATCCTATGTTCCAGAAGAGTGTCTATCTCTGATCACATTTCTCCATGCCAATGCACTGAGCAGTATGTCTGTCAGTAGCCTCATATATTCAGTGCAGGAATATTTGCTAAACAAAAAGGAGCCACACTAAAACTTGACAGCTTGTGGCATATGTCAACCAGGTAATTCTAAATAGAATGTGCAAATTCTCAGGTTGAGCTTTTCATAGGTAGCACATATTAGATCAGGTCTCTTGCACTGGAATTCATATATTTCATATGAATTCAGCATGAAATGAAGTTATTCCATAGCTTTGTTTATGTAATACAAAACTGTTCTGCCAGCTCATTACCAGCCTCTACAAGGACCCAATGTGCAACTGCAAATGGTAGTAACATAGACTATAAGTACTCTGCTAATTAGCCATTCTATTAAATTCCCATGTTAACAGTGAAAGAGCTGATACAAAATGAATAGTTACAACACAGAAGTGCAACAACTCGTCATGGTACTCACGGTCCAGGTGGCATGACTACCTGCTGAAAGGGATCCATAGCCCAGGCATGCAGACAATAGACAATGATCACCTCCAGTGCCATGGAGAGGAGAGATGTCGCAAAAAGGAAAGATGCAAAGGCATGAGATCCAAATCGCCTCTCAAATATCCTACCAGGAGAGAATCCCTTTGATGCATCAACACCTGATTCAAGGGGAACAAATCATCAATAATCTGTAGCATTTTTTTTACTCACCTGAAGTAATAAATTATAAGAGCACCACACACAACATCCTTTGTATGAATGAATGCAAACCGGGACATTAGAAGCTTCCAAACCTGCAAGAAACAACCAAACCTAAGTCTCGATCTTGCACTTAGGCCTAAACACTGTTTGGCCATATTAAATAAAAGATAATCTTTCATCTCCTTGCCTCATGCTTGTAGATGATATCTGTGATTTGAACATGAAGGTGCTTGCGCAAATGGGCAAGGATGGGTACATGGATTGCTGTGTATGCAAGTGATAACCCAACTAGCAGGCCTTTTGTGACAGGTGCTTTATCTGGACAGGAAAAAACATTAGCATAACCCAAGAATTAGTTGACAGAATCAGACATAAATTCTCAACATATTATGCACTGTTTCCTGATTGAATTTGTACCTCCCTAAAGATGCACTAGCATCAATTGCAGGTAGCAACATCTTACACATGGGTGGTTATGTCTGGAAATGTGTGGTTTCTCCATTATTCACTATAGATGGGTGGCACAAATTCAATCAAGAAACAGTGTAGATAACTTGGATTAGATTGACTTGGACCACTCATGAGATGCAATAAGTATGTCTTAACCAACAACATAAAACCTTACAGAAGCCAGTTGTTGAATGCTGCGACAGGATTGTAGCCATGATGAGAATGGTCAAAATATCCTCAAAGTCTTCTCTGTCATTCCCTCAAGTCACAAACTTCATGAAGTCCACAAATGCAGAGTCACATCAAGTTCACAACTTTTTCACATCAAGGCCTAACAACAACTGTTAGGCAAATGTTTCAATTCTTTTTCTCCAAGTAACGTATGCTACCTGATGGTAGCATTAACTTTCGTCTCAAAGAATAACAAGACTATGACACTGAACCTGCATGACCATCAAATACAGGTCTTTTTCCTTGACTTTCAGGAACACACAAAAATACAAGCTGTTCACATGAACTCCAAAAACAATTCATATCACCTTTAACCTCTTCACTATCATTGATGACAGTGTCAACACAATTGCTAACATTCAACTCTATATTTGGCACCTTTTCATCATGCAAAAGCATCTTATGATTTCCCTGAGTAGCCATGAGGTGGTAGACATAAAAAAGCCTTGGATGAGTATCAAGAGATGGCAAGACAATGACTTACCTTCCCACTAATCAATATTTTAATGAAATGCACAATGTAAGAAGCCAAATGTCACTCACTGAATCCTTGCACGAAACTCATCCAGTGGATTACTAACTACTTAAATTATGTATAAAAAACAAGCAGCAAAATGGCCCAACTTAAAGACATATCAGAGGTGAGTTATAATGTAAGCAGTAACATAGAAACTTGCAAAACCTTATAAAATAGGAAAGTGCTAACGCTTCCTCAGGGTTCACACTAGCTTTTTTAAATCTTGAGTCTTGGCGCCAAGCTTCAGCTCAGTGGGAACATGCTCAGGTGGTTCTCAATGAGTCCCACAGACTTCGATGTTTTGCAAATATGAGTCCCTTCAAGAAAATATGAGTCAGGGACTCGCTATAGCGAGTTAATGGGAACCCTGCTTCCTTACATTATTGATACAAGGAAGATGGGGTGTTTTGCGAAAGGAATCTGCGTGAAAAATATGGTAGCAATGGGCTAAAATTGGTTCATTGTCACAACCTTATCAAGTCACTAGGTACGCTAATGCTTCAACTGAGTTCAGCGTTCTTTCACTTGAGTATAACATGGACAATGAAACATCAATCCCGTTCTTGAGTTTAATTTCAGTTACCTTCACTTCTTACTATAGGCCTAGTATGCAAAGTTGATACAGACACACTCGCATGCTTAACGCCAACATACTAATTCGTTTTACAGTACAGGAATATGCGACTCCAAGGTGAACAACCGAGCATTGAGCAATTCCACTTCTCATGCCAGTCACTGGGGCCGAGCGTTCCGCCATGCTGCGATAGAGTCCTCAACGGGCCCAGGGCCCATCGATAAACGGATGAGACGCACACCTTCTGAACTTCTCAGGGTCCGTCGGTGACGATGCGGTTCTGCAAGTGGAGGCATCCGCTCCCGCAGACCCCCCCGAGAGACAGTGGTGTCCGCGGGCCAGTGATCTCCCCTCTCTCCACAGTATTTATTGAGGCAAGAAACTAAATCCTTCCATTTTCGCAAGTCAGAAAGTGTAATTTTCGATATAAATTTCAATTTTCTGCAAAAAGTCAACTCAGGTGATTGAGAGAACCGGAAAAAATCGCATTTCATTCCTTCCTCATGACTGCAGCGCGCAGAATCTAAGGAAAGGAATCATGACCAATTCCGCAAGGTGACATCCGAAGTAACAGGATTGGGTGGCGTAGTTAGCTCTACTTCCCAGTGTCCTAGTAAGGACGTACTTGCGATTATTTTAAACGAAACCCTTGAAAGTTTTCTTCTACTACTCTTCGGCTGGAATATATGTGTTAGTGCATGTAACAGACGTGCGATGAAAAAGAATCGTTGAGACTTGTATATATCCTGGGTTCATCCGTCATGGGTAAACATCCGTTCGTTTTTCCTTCTGGTACCCCTCCCGCACAGCAATCGATATGTACTCAACGTTCACAACAAGCCGTTAAGATCGCTGGGAGTCTGATTAGAAGGAAAGGCAGGCACTCATTTAATGCGAGACATAATTGATAATCCTGACGTCACGGACGGATTCCATCAGCGACGCTTTGCATTTTGCTTCAATTATGGTCTGGTGCGATTTGTATTCGTGTTCTAGAATGGATTTCAGTGACAGGCAGGGAAAAGGTTCATACCATGTATTAGATAAAACGAATGGCTTGATTCACATCAATAAATGTAAACTAGAAGCACCAGGGTTGCCAACTGTTCAAGTCTCGCAATGAAGATATCTCATTTGAGGGACTGACGCAGTTACCAGGGGATTACTGCTGACGAGGATGAATACATACTTTATTTACTCAGAGGAGTTCCCCAGGGAAAAGACACCTGCTTCTTGCTTTTTTTTTTCGTCCCGCTCCGAGCGCAACTGGAAGAATTGGCAACCTTGCGAGTCTCTAGCCGACTCAGGATGTTCTATTTTGGCAAACCAGCCACATTCGTCCCTAAGAACTCTCAGGCCTCGCCGCATCATTTACTTCATGGGGTCATTACCCCACCGAGGAAAGGGAGGGGAGGGACTATACACTTTTTTTTTGTCCTTTAAGCTTGATCAACCGAAATTTGGATTTTCTTTATAACTCAGGGAGGCCGTGCATGGATTTTTTCGTCATGCAAATGAAAATAGAGGTGCAACCATTTCATTTCTTTGTTCATGCCATGTATTTTTTTAATACCAGTCAAACGCTCATAAGCACATGTAAATTCAGATATTGCATAAATTCCAGTTGATGACACCTATCAGGAGCCTTGCACTCTGGACAATAAATTCAACGATAATATCAGTGAGTGTGATGGAGCCGAACTGAAATATTCTTGTCTTATGAATGGGTAAGACTCAGTGATTGGTGCAACATAAGTTTGACTCCACATACGCATTGATACAAAAGCAAAAAAAAATTATTAACCAAAGGTGAGCAAAACCTGAAAATACATATTTTTTCCAGCAGTAGGCATCATCAAGAAATGGATCAACATCCATCTTGGCACAATTCTGCATACAACTGCACACTTAGGTGCCTCAGAGAACAAGTGCTAGTTGCAATCACATCAACTGACACACAATAGATCATCATCCTGGAAGAAGTGCTACCCATAAACTCATTCTCATCATGAAAACCATATTCTGCAGCTTACAACCCCTTGAGAGCATGATGACCTCACCAAGAGATGAGTTATAAATGCCCAGTGTAACCATCAATTTCAAAAGCACACAATCTGAAGAGTGCTCTGAAAGTGACAGGAAAGATTTTATTCAAGGAAATGGCAGAGCAGACATTAGCCAACACTACAATGCAAGAACACCACTCACTGAAGCAGCTAGGAGGTGCTTCAAATCTGATTTTCTTGCTTGAGTCTGTACATGCAACTGTGCTGGAACATGAACCATCTTCGTCTTATTCCCATGAAGTACTATGTGGAAAACCAAGTTGAATGGAGATTATTTTATGCTTCTACCAAATGTCTAGTGTTATGAAAAGCAAGCAAATATAAAAATAAGAGAAAGCATACCCTGGGTTATCTCTACTGCATAGAAACCTTTCAAATTATCTCCATGTCAAATTCTCCCAGTCTCTTTTGATAATTGACTCCCTTCAAGGATATGAAAGGGATCTTTTTGGAACAGACTGTGTTTCACTCAAACTCTGAAACTGAAGTTAATGATATCAATCAAGCTGACAATGCAGACAGTAAGTTGGACAGGCTAAAGGTATAAGCCTGGTAAATGACACAATTTCCCATTTGATACATACTGGATATTAAATGGTTCTGGCTGGAATCAAACATACCCTGCATATTACCACTGGAAGAATCCATAAGCTGTTGTAACTAGGAATGTAACAATACAGACACCTCAGATTGATATCAGCTTATATCAATATGGCTGATTTAATCTGATTCTCTGCTGCCCCCTGCCATGATACTTCCAAGTGTGCAGACAGAGAAAGTGTTTAGCTGCTCTGGTGCCATTTGCTACTCTAACAGGAACAGGGTGAATACAACAAATTTTGAGATGTTCACATTTAAAAAAATGAACAAGTCCTCTCTTGCCTTTCACCAGCTCATGAATAAAATCTCAGGAAGCATGGGACAGGTGTTTTACTTCTGTGTTCTGATCACCAATGGGAATGTATTGGTATCAGTACTGCTGATACTACAGTACTGGAACCTATATCTGTACCAGTAGTGGGTACACCTGAATCAGTGCATCCTTCATAGTAACCAGTATCATTATCACAACAAGTAATGACAGGCCAAACTTGCACATTCTCTTATGGATTTCAGGAGTCAAAATTGAAGGTACTTACTATCCTCATGTGGAACCAGTCTTGTTCCAGCATGGGATCAGCAATGAGCTGAAAAAAACCCATACAATTATCTTCTGAGCATATGAAAAATGCTCAATGCACATTTGACTATGACATTTTGCAACCTTCAAATGCCTTTCGCCGTTCTCATAACCACTGCATTTCTACTTTGCCGGTCAAACTTGGAGATGAGGTTTTTGTTCCTGAGCAAACCAGGACTGCAATCCAGATGAAAGTCAACCCAGATATGCCTGGCATCCTATATGCAGGATTTCATGCAGAGATGTGCATGAAAAATTCTCCAACAGTTCACATGTCAGTCATGTTACTCAGAATCACCTTGTCAGACTTTAAGTGCCAGTTATAATCATGTTAATAAAGTGAAGTAAAGAATTTTTCATGCGCACCTCTGCATGCCGTCTTACATATAGGAATCCAGGCATATCTGGGTTAAACATGACATATATTTAAATGACTCACTCATCTAAAAGATTAGAACTACTGTTGAACTGTTTACTAATTTTGCTGGTATTAATCATTTCTTTAAGATAATCTTAATAATGAACAGGAAATTATTTATACATGGCAATATCATTTAAATATCCATTTTCATGGAAAAACCTAAGACTGCTTCATTATGTTTTAGTAGATGCTTATTTCCAAAACCTGAAGAATTTAGAAAAAGTCACTCTGAATTCCTTTTCATCTGAGACTTTAATTTTTTTAAATTCCTTTACTTCATCATTTGGTACATTTTTACCTTATCCATGTGGATCATTTCTATGTTATCAATCAGCACTGCTGATTTAATCAAAATATACTGTAATTAATTCAATGTGTATACAATTTATTCAATGATTAAAATGTGATTAATTATAGTTTAATCATAGTTTAAGGTGTTAAAAAAAATTTGCAGCTTTGTTCTGCTTTGCTACTGACTTTCTCATTAATTTTATTGTTTTAAAGCAACAATGAGGAAATATAATTATCCACCTTTCTCACTCACTTTTCTGGAGGGAACTAGGCTCAAACTATCATGTAGTCTGGATGTGTCAAGCTGAAACCATTACAGCACCAGCCCCCAACAACTGAAAATCAATCTAAAACCAGCTGGAAGGCAGGCATAGTCCCTTTAGCAACCAATATTACAATTTCAAAACCACCATATGCGAACATCATGATACCACCTGGAACCATATCTAAATATTACAAACAAGCCTTAGCTAAAACCACAGAGATTTCTAGCAGGTAATTTTTACTGGGACACAGTTCACAACAGGCACTCCTGATAATGAGGAAATTTTTTGCAGAGAGCTTCAGTGAAAGCAAGAAACCTCAGTCATTTGAAGAGTTTCTAAAACGTATGTCTAGAGGATGCCAAGCAATTGGAACAGGAAGGATTTACAGAGAGAAATGCCATTTTAAAAGTAGAAATAGGTGGCCTTTATATATGTAACATGCATGCTTGCTTCCTTATAGAGTGTGTGAAAGGCCATACAAGTTATTAAAGCAAAGTACAAAGACGTACACATTTGGGTGGGAAAATGGCTTTTCTTGACATAAATGCTCTACTGTGATCTGACAAGAATTCCTTGACAGACTTCAAGTATTATCCATGCTCATTGCCTTATTTGATGCTTGGAATTAGAATGATGGCATGATTTGTCATGGATTCTATGTTTTAACCATTTCCTGTCCATTTTATCTGTACCACTATGGAGATTGTCAGGCTAACAACAAAGGGTTAAGGCTATTTTGGTGTCATGAGGAAGATGCCCAAGGAATGCATGAGTAAAGGTAACCAAAGCGTGTGTATATTAGCAGTGTTTGTTATTCACTGGACTTGTAGTGTAAAAGTCAATTCTACCTGATATGCTGTACAAACATTACCTTCTGCTTACATTCACTCATTTCTTAGGCACATTCACCTTTGTACCACAGGTATATAAAATTCTTGCCATCATGAAAAATTTATAAAGTGCATGTTCACCTTTTTCTCAGGCCATCAACAACAACATTTTTTTTTAAAAAGATAGTTAAGATTAATATACACAAAAACAATAGCCTTCATGGTTCTTTCAATGTGATTCTTCATGTCTGGTATTACTGATATCATTCAGTAAAATTTTATTCTTCAACATTAGTGGATATTCTTCCATGATAATGTAGCAGTTATGATCTCTGTGTACAGTAAGGGTTACACAGCCTAAGCTCTTTTGCCTTGCAACAGACCAACTTCCAGTACAGCTAGTTCACAACTGAGCCACAGAAGTGCTTCTCTGTTATTGCTCAGCTGCATCAAGGGAGACACCACCAGATGAGGTGTCACCAATTTTCTCCTCTTCCTTACAGCTACATACCAGCTAAGTGTATTACCTGAGAGAGCATTGACTACATCAAGACAACAATTACATTGGCTTGAAACACCCCACAATAATAATACAAAAAAGAGGCAGGGAATAGGGACCAAAAGGTGACAGTTCTAAATGAGGACACAAATTAATTTTAAAGGGAAATAATCAAAAGAGAAATCAAAGAAACCAAAGGGTGGGGGAGAGGGGAATACATGGAAATCCCAGATGGGAGATGGTCAACTAAAATGGGAAACGTTAATAGACTTTCAAGAAGTGTTCATGTCTGAACCAAGTTCAAAGCAGGCACCAGCACAACCACCAGATAGGGTCAACACCTGCTTTGCTGAAGGGCCAATTGATGAAGATGAAAGAGACATGCTGGTTCTTCAAGTTGCATTGCACCTTCAAAGCCACTTTTCACCAGCACTACAAAAGAGTGAAGACCGAGAATTACATTAATACAGGTGATCATGTTCCCTTTCTTGGGTGTTTCATTCCATAACCATGCATCTGCTATCCCCATTTCCCCTTGATTTGGCATAAAATCCCATGCAAAATTCTACCAAGTCTCCAGCAAGGCTGGAGTGTACTGTCCATTTTCAATTTTCAATTTCCATTGAATGATTCCTCAGCCTAAAACTGGAAGAAGAAACTTGAATGAAATTTCAGATGGATGTGAAGCACATAGCAACTTGCATATAGAGCAAATTCATGAAAATAGCTCCAGTGGGAGTCTGTCTTTTTTTTACTTTGCATATTTATAAAGCTGAAGCAAATATCTAATTATGTCAGTTAAGGTCTATCCATTGATGTTTCAAAACTGTAATTGTGAGAGCCAACATTCCAGCAACCATACTGTTGAAGTAATAATTTTCTATAGATGTCAATCCATATAACAGCTGGCCTCACCTGGTCAGTGACTTTCACCCACAACAGCCAACAGGATCTCTGCAAATTTAGACTAGCATGAGCAGCATATGCCATATGGGTTGATCCTTTCCCTGTCAAATCATTTCAAAAGGAACCTACAAAATTAAAAAATGTTTATAATCTCATCAATGAATTTCTGCAGATTAATAGTTACAACACCTTCATTACTGCAATTAAATCCATCTGAAAATGTGTTTAAAATCTATCACTGAGGATATATCAACAAATCAGAGAAAACATTAGAGAACACAAAACACTTGAGAGAAAGTAATGATCAGAATTTTCCTACATATTTTTTATCCTTGAGGAGGATGAATCTGGTTGTTAGCAGAAGCAATGCAGTTGCTCTTTTTTCCAATGATGTTATGATGATGTAATCTATGCTACACTAAATGAATTTTCATAAACCATGAGTAGATTCCTTTCACTAGAAATTACTAAAATTACATTAATACTGAAAGCATAGTTTAGGCATGAAGGAGTGAGGTTCATATGATTTCCATCACAGCTTTTCATCCTTAAGTTGATCACTGTTGGCCAACAGAACAGAGAGGACAGTCAGCCTGCAAAAAGATAACAACTCACAGATTGAAATGACTTTGTCCTGGTCTCCAGTGGGGTTGAGAAGAAGCTGCATCCCATCAGTAACAGAAGATATGGCTCAGGCTCATCATGCTGGTCAGGTATCCATGCCACTTGATCCTCATCTACATGTACAGCCATTTATTCACACTTTAATGTGCATGGACTTTTTACAATGAAACTCATATTAGGCCACATTCTGTCCGACATTTTCAGCTCCTTACTTAATTGCATTATGATTCATAGGTTTGGAAAATTCTCAAAACTCAAGAAAAAGCAACATCAAGTGTAAATGAACACTTTTAAACTAATCTCATATTTCCCAGTTATGGCATCATAATCCAAACTCTCAAAAGCATCATGATAATTTTTTGGAACCCACATCCATCCAAGAGAGTGAAACCAATTCTCAAACTCTTACTAGAATGTGTTGGGAGAAGAAAACCACAAAGGTGATTGCTTCACACCTGCTCAGTCAGCTTCAGCTTCAGTTGCCTTCTCATGGGTCCCACCAGTCCGTCAGCAACTGATGGATGCTTAGTTGAAGGAGTGCTGACCAACAAAGATCAGGGACCACTTAAGGGCTGGGAGTTTCAAATTATATAAAAATTATTCTCTGAATTTAGGTTAATAGTAAGAAGTAAAGCTACAGAACGGAAGGGGAAGGGAAGAAGTGAAGCGTAACCTGATGTTGAACCAAGACGCATTGGTAGTCATTCCCTCCCATATAATTCTCATGAGGAAACATGATCACTGGCTGAATTAGATCATACATGCAGGCAGTGCAAGAGGAAGAATGCAGCATAAGTCTAGGATGAAGATATCAGGAGAGGTGTGTCTCAACAATGACAAAAGTTGCTATGGAGATGCAAATTCCTTTCTCTTCTTGAAATCACCCTGACCACATTTCCATTCCTTCTCTTCCAGAGTCTTCCTCCTCGGTTAGCTCACTCATGTTTTCCTCACCATATCAAAAAAAATGGGGGATGCCATGGAATCAAGGGCAGATTAAGGGGGTGAGGGGGCAAAGGGTACCATTGCCCCAGGCCCAATTTTCTAGGGGGGGGGGGGGCCCTGGAGAAAATTAAAACCATTAAGTATTTGCATAAAATAGATGTTACATATCAAAATTTGCACCACCAGCGCTCAACTGTGTGGCTCCTCTAGGATACTTGCATCACCAGGTAAAACGTCTTAGCGGTCCCAAGAATCCATTTGACTTGGACCTTGCAAATTTTTAATCCAGCCCTGCATGGAGTAAAGTAGAGATCAACTGCAATAGACTGGGGATCTTCCATGCCCCTTCTTTTCTCTGTTACTTTACTTTACTTTACTATCACCCTCACCTCATAAGGAGGGATACATTCTAACTCACAATTGATTTATTTTTCACACCATACCTACATTTGCTTCTTAATCCATCTGACTTATCCTATGCAATAAATCAACTCTGAGAAAGGGGTGGGGGTTTTTGAGAAAAAATCATTCATAAAAAATAACACAATACAACATTTAGCAAAAACAGGGTGAGCAATAATCGCACGTCTCCATGGTCTACATGGTAGAGTGCATACAAAAGTATAGTCCATCTTGGATTTACACAGTGATATGAAGCTACCAGCAATTATCTTTTTGGTGAAAAATACATAATACATGAGCTAAGAAAGAGGCTGATCCCAAAAACCAGGCTAATGATCAGAACATAAGGATTTTTTTCCCAGTTTTCTTTTTTAACTTAATCAGCTATGGGGGTACTTCTCAAGCACCCGTTTACTCCCAAAGAATATCCATGCGTTTAGTAGGCCACAAGCCACTGGTTGGGAACCAATACTATAGAAGCCTCAGTTTAATATAAGGCCTTGAATCATACAGAGGACAAGATTCTCCTCAGTTCTGGGAGGAGTACAGACCAAGAGTTGAGTCTAATCAGAAAATCTAGGTTTCAATCTTACATCAATTTCCCAAAATCTTGACTGAAAATGCACTGACAATTTGAGAACCACTTTAGGAATCAGTCAATCCCTCAGTTCTTGTTGTTTAAGGAATGCTGAGGGGGTGCATGGGGAATATGAGCATACTGAAAGTTCATTCAACTAAACTGACTTGTTTCAGAGGTCTTCCATTACTACACAGACAATGGTAAAACTGTTGCCGTGATACGTTTTAGTCTCTCCCAAGAACAACTCAAGGTCTTTCTACCCCCCAAATTCGTAAACATCCACCTCCTATAGTACAGCAATTTGTCGCTTCGTCTCACCTTTAAAAAAAAAATCATTCAGGAGTTGAATGCTAGCATGCCTGTCGCACGCGTTTGGGGATGGGCGTCTCATGGACTTTCACATATCTTTCAGCTGGGTGTGTTGCCTCTCGCGCCGTGAGACAGACGCAATTCGGCATACAACTCCTCCGGGGATACGCCTCCCATCGAACAACCTGCACCGTAGCTACACGTGGACCCGACTCGCCCGCTCTCTCAGCTGGTGCCGAGGGATGGCCGCGTGTGTGAGCTCTGCTGCTGCCATCTGGCGGATAGCCTCGTGAATGAACGCTGCTGCTGGCATCTGGCGGATGGTGTCGTGGGTTCTCCTGCTCGTAACGTGAGCGATCGATCGTGCGTGGAGAGTTTCGCAGGTGAGGACATCCTGGAGCCCTCACGGCTACGCCAACGTCAGACGCATCTGTGGATGCTTTGGCGTTCCACGTGGACCTGAAAGCGGTGGGTGGGCTTGGGAGTCGCAGTTGGCGGCGCTTCCTCGTGGGGTGAGGAGACAGGTCGCCTTCATGGGCTTTGTTTTTGCTTGGGGGGTTTCGTCGGCTCTCTTTTTTTTGAAAGCGAAGTTTTTGTGTGATTCTCAAGAGTTGTCATCTTGTTCTTTGTGTTCTTTTGTGTGCAGGTAGTCTCTGGGAGAATTTGTGATTTTTTCTGGGTCGAAGAAGGAAGATGGAACTAGGCTGCAGGGAAGCGAGGAGTCGGGTGAGTCTGCATTTCAAATCCGGTTTTTCGTGCACATGAACACCGTCTGGTTTCGACGAAGGCCTTCGAGGCGTTTCTACTTCCACACTCACTTAATGCTGTTTCACGCGTGAAACTCTGTGCCCTGAAGGCCTGTCCAATGTAAGGGTACTTTTCCTCGTTTCCGGGGGATTTCTCGAGCTTGTCGAAAAAAGTGTCAATCCTCGTCGGTTCCCTCCTGCGTTCGGTTCTCATTCTGTCACCGCTGGCATGATCGCGGCGATCATGCCAGCCGAATGGCCGCTCGCGCGAGGGAAACCTCGCGATATCAGCATCGACCGGTGCGGAACGGCTCGAGAAAGTTTCATCTGTGCACGAAATCTGAGTGAAAGACGACTGAAAGTGTTGTGATTTCCTCATCGACGCGATTTCACCGACGTCCGGTTGAATCCAGACCCATAAAACGAAATACCCAATCTTCAATTCAATCACATATCGTGCAAGAAGCATGAAAAACTACGTGTGACCGCTGAGACACCAGATCGAGCCAAGCCGGAGCGTCATCCCGCCTCCCCACCCGTCCATGCAAGATGCTTTGATGGGGGAACGACGCCTCAACAGCACCAAGCGAAGAGCCCCAGGAGTTCCAATCGACCGCTTGCGCCTCCATTCACACGATGGTGCAAGCAGCAAGAAAGGCTGCGAGGATGGAGAGGAGGATGTAGGCTGCTAGGATGGAGGAAAGGATGCAGGCTGCTAGGATGGAGGAAAGGATGCAGGCTGCTAGGATGGAGGAAAGGATGTAGGCTGCGAGGATGCGTCTGCCGTGCATCTTTTCGACCTGGCGGTTGCGGGCTCTCAAGTCGTTCTCGAACCCGGCGAAATGTCATTGGAGCAGTGCATTCGCTCGATGATCTCGTTCTACTAAGTGCCTCGCAAGAACTAGGTGTGCTGTCCGTTTCGCTGCCTTTTCCAGATACTTCTCCCAAATCGCACGGGCGTCAGTGATCGAACAGGTGCGAAGAAGCGGAGGGATTGCCGCCGGTACTAACCGATTTTTCTCAGCCGTTTTCTTCGAAAATCTTCGAGAAGTTTCTCTGGCTGGCTCATCAACTCTCCACGAGAATGCCAGTCGATATTTTACACATTCCCCCCGAGGCCAGAGCTGTTATCGATTTGATTAGGAATTTGCGAAACACGAAAGACTTTCAGAGCCTCTAGTCGATATCGGAGAGGCATCGTGAAATTCCCAGCGAAGCCGGAAGTTTCTCGGGAAACGATCGAATCCAAGTTCTGGAAAATTGGAGCTATCGAGCATTCGCCGAAAGACTTCAAACGTCTTCAAAACCTCGAGTCGCAACACGTTTCCCACTTTCACCGCCTTCGAGAAGGACCGAAATCACAATCGAGAACAGTTTCGGATTTTGCTAGTTCGCGTCTCAACTGCCGAGCGATCGTTTTCACGCGGGCTTCCGAAAGACTGCAAGGGTCGACAAGACGACAAGTCGATAGGATGAGTGCTGCGAATGTCGGCATTGGGGGTAATCTCGGCACTTTACGATTGTAAAAGTTCTGCTTCCACTACTAGTGCCCGAGGCACGGGTAGATAAGTGTTCTCAGATGGTAGTACTAATGTTTTGGTCTCGGTCGAGCGTTCGTAGCGTGAGGATGGCGTGTTGGAGGATACTCTCGAGGTTCTGTCAGCTAAGTCGTGAGTTAGTTGTTACCTGGCTACTTTGTAGCAGTATTCATAAGTTTCTTGATAGCTACCTCCAACTTCACA